TTTAACATCGGTATCGATATCGGTTATCGGCTACATGAGTTTTAAAATATCGGCATATCGGATATCGGCCAAAATCCCAATATCTTGCATCCCTTGTTGTTATAGATACTGCAACATGTAGCTATATCCATCCATCCATCCATCTTTCTCCCTTTCTCCATATAGGCTAATGATCCTTCACGCTCTCCATAGTTCCCCTGTGGCGCGAGCACAGGCGGCTGTTATGCGCCTTTAGCGAACATGCGCGTTTCCTGTCGCTTGCGCGGTGAATCGTGCCGCCGCGCTGTGCAGAGATGCAGGGGAAACTGTATCTGATGTGGAAACGCAGCTCGACGTAACACCAGTATTTCCATCTGGAAAGCGCTGTTTTGCCGCTGGAGTCCTCCTCACTCTCCATCCTCCCATCTCTCATGACGCGCGCACGAGTCCTATCATGAAAAAAGGTTAATTGTGCGACCTGAGTAACGTGCAATTGTAACTGCGTTGTAGTTACAGTAAGAGTAATAATTTTGATTACTCGTTACTAAAAAAAAGGTAGCGGCGTTAGTAACGCTGTTACTTTCAACGCCGTTACTCCCATCACTGACCGTTAGCCATGTTTGTTTCTCCTCCATGAACACATTCTTCTGTTTGCAGCAACCAGACGGCCTGGAGGAAAGCCAACCTGGCCAGCAAACTGTCCATCGACAAAATGGAGAAGCAGGCGCTGCTCAACGGGGCTGATGGCGCCGTGAGACAGAGGTATTAGAACCCCTTAAACATCCCGGTACCCTTAGGATTTATTTCAGTTTGGTTAAAGAGCCGTTTTTGATTTCCCTGTCAGGAAGACGACCAAAGAGGGCCTCGCCCAAAACGCCAGCGACATCACAGAGAATCTGATGAGCATCAGCCGGATGATGGCGCAGCAGGTCCAGCAGAGTGAAGAAACCATAACCACACTAGGTCAGTGATTGAAAGGACAAATGTAGTGGTGGTGTATGGAAGCAAATTGTTACCATATTTCAAATGAAAAAGCTTTTTCATCTTAAGAATGTGGCTGCATTACTTTACTCATAAATAAAATTAGTAATCAATCATCCTATTTGCGTTTTAATTTTCTTCTTCAAGACTTCTCATCCTTCTACTTAATTAAAATGAAAAAGCGTTTATGAAAATGCTTTTTCATTTGAAATATGGTAACGATTTGCTTCCAAAATTTCGGAAGAGGATTAGGGCCACTGGGAAAAAAAAAAAGTTAACTGATTTTTAAAATTTTATTTCAGTTTAATATGGGGAAAAAAGTCAGAAT